CTCTAGTTGTTTTAATAAAGGTATCTTTTGACTGAATTCTTATGTGGCCTGGATCTTTGACTCCATATTCAATTATACCATGCTGGTATTCTGGGTAAAGAGAAGTTAGTAATAAGCAAAAATAGACCCAGAGATGTCTGAAGCCAGCTTGACATGCATTGATCACTCCTTTTCTTCATGTAGTCTTAAATGCTCACTGTCCTTTTTTTCCATTTCAGGTTGGAAATTAAGCCCAGTAGTTGGAGCTGTATATGGTCCTGAGTTATATGCAGGTAGCATTTAAGTTAATGTTTCCATTTGTGCTAACCGTAACAGCATCTGTTGTTTTTGAATTTGCTATTCCTTTGTAATCTTTTTGCATTTTTAAATTTTTTTGAAATGCAATCAGCATCCAGCTTTCAAGCAGATGTGTCCCTAGGCAATGATGCGGCAGTACCCCTATCAGGAAGAGGGGGTATCAACACTTACATTCCTCTAATCAGTAAGTAGCCTATGTTGGCCTGGCATGAATTTTGACTATTGTGAGTGAGCAGTGATGTGCTAGGGGTTTTTTTCCCCCAGTATAATATGCAACTGAAAAAGAAACATTCTCAAAAGGAATAGTAAATACTATCTCAATGCCCTGCCCTGCTTAAACTGTGCTAGAATTTTCTTGACCATATATTAAGATTGCCACAAAACAAAAAAATTGGAAAAGGTAGAGAGGGTAAGAGCATATGAAGAATGTTTTAGTCTGTACTTGATAATAAAGAAAACAAAAAAACAAGTATGTGTTAAGTATATTATATACGTCCTCTGCAGGTCAGCCTTAGGCCCTCCAGGAGAGGATCACTTAAAAGCACTTCCAGTATTATTGATTATTTTCAGCTCTCTTGATATCTCTAAAGTCATTTTGACCTGAGCCATTTTACTCCAGCAAGAGGTATAATTAAATAGGATTCAGTAGACATGGAACCAATGCCTCTTCGTGTTTTCTAGAGGATGGCACACCTAAAATAGGCCCTTGGGAAATGCCTGCCTCTTTAAAGGATACAAGATAACAGGGGAGGAGTGGTTTCCCTCTCACCTTCATTTCTGGATTAAAACATTTTAGATAAAGGAATGAAATTGACTAACGAAACATCTAAAGACTATTGTATGCCTTGGAGGTAGGCATCATGTAAAAATACAAAAAGAGTATTCTTTTGAGGAATATTATATGCACATAATAACATTTAGAAAGAAGGTTAACAATTGGCCCATTGAAGAGTTTATGTCAGTCTGATTTAAGCTGTTCATAGTAATTAAAAATCTGTTTCTTATTATGGCAGTAGTGCTCAGAGCCTCTTGACCTATCACCAGCTTGCGTTGTAATGCCATAATTGGGAAGGAGCTGAGAAAACTCACTCCAGATTTGTGAGGCATGGAATCATTTGCTTTTGCATGTTAGGTCTCTGTTTCCATTTCTTTCCCAGTCAGAGACCCAGGGTAGGAGATTTACTGAATATTATATAGTGTGCCACCTATTCACAAAAGATGTGGTACATATCTTTTCATCTTTTCTGTAATTGGTTCACAGCAAGTTGTGCCTGTGTACCTGCTATTGAATGCAAGTTGAAATTTCTGTCATATTTTGGGTCTCCCTTTAGTTCCTGGCTTCCCTTACCCAACTGCAGCCACCACGGCGGCCGCTTTCAGAGGAGCCCATCTGAGGGGCAGAGGGCGGACAGTATATGGTGCAGTCCGAGCAGTACCTCCAACAGCCATCCCCGCCTATCCAGGGTAAGCATTAGATTCCAAAATCAGTATGTTTCTAAAATAAGCAATTGGACGAAAAAGAATACCATGGCCCTCTCATAACTTCTCAGACATTGCTGTGCCACATAGTAGACATTCAATGAATATGTGCAAATTAACGGATTAGATGGCAAGAACCAAAATATACCATCATCAGAATATAACCAAATATCAATTCATTCTATAGACCTTCATTTTGGCCACCTTAAGCCCTCATGGTAATGGCTTAAGACAGTAGCCAGAACCGCCTTGTGTTTACTAGCAGTGTGTTGGCATGGAGTTCACTCAGCAGCGCACGAATATGGATTAACATTACTGCAGAGAACCAAAAGAGGAGCTCGAGATTGTAGTGCAAGACTGCATCTGCTGTGTTCACCCCCTTATCGCCACCCCATGTTGGGGCCAAGGCTGTCACATGTGCCCTCCCCTTTGGTTTCACTGCCTGGGTGGTGAGCAGCAGAGCTAGTTACCCACAATGGATTTGCTTTCTTTGTAGGAAATGGATTAAAAGAGGTTAATTCTAAGATGAGCCAAGTCCAATTGAATCAAGGGAGAAAGGGAGAAGTAGGAGGAATTAAAACTGCAGTTGGCTTCTGAATGATGGTAAAACAACTAATGCAGCTGAGCATCCTTCACCCTTTGATTTTTGTATGGAGGGTGTCTCATGCAGTGGAATGATTCCATAGCAACAAATAAATCCTTTGTTATTGAATGGGAGAGAAGGAGTGAAGATGGCAGGTTTTGTTTTTAGTTGTTTCTCAGTGTCAGCCTACAATGTATATTTTTGTAAAGAGTGGACTTTTATAAGTCAGTCATACCAAGGATTTTCGCTCTTCAAAGATGGGACATTTCTCTTCTTCATCTTTTCTCTGCCTGTGACAGGTTTTTTTCTGTATTCTTACTGAGGGATAAATAGGGCAGAGAAGCCTATTTATTGGCTGCTACTTAGTTAAAATATAAAGGGAAAGAGCTTCCTTTGTATGTCCTTTTCTGACAACAAAATTGGCTTAGCCTTGAGGTGTACTAATTTAGCATTCATTCATTTGTAGACCAAATGGACATACCATTAGGATTTCTCCATTCCACAGAATTAAAGCATTTTTATTAGATAAGGCAAGTATGCATGTTGAAGTGGGCAGGCTCCAAAAGACACTGCAGGGGAACTGCTTCAGAAATTAACTTTTGTTTTCAGTTTATAGATGTTTAAATCCCATGCATTCCATCATCTCCATCTTCTACCATTACTTTTAATTTTATCCTTTTTTCTCACAACTTGACCTTTGACCTTCAACCTCTGACATCTCTTTTTAAAGAAGTGAATATGCAGTATTGTTTCATGAAGAAATATTCAAGTGAAATATAAAAACGAACATTTTGGAAGTTCTACACACTAGGAAAATTATTCACGAAGTATCTTCCGTTTCAGCCCAAGAGAGTTTACTGTCATGTTTGCAAAGACAGGCTGCTCACCAGAAACATGGGACTTCTTTTTGTAACATTCCTAAGTTACTTTATAAAGTGGTTAAATTCATTCCTATTCAATGTAGGTCATTTCAGTATATTGGCCAAACTTGAGAATCCATTCTCTACCAAGTCTATGTCAGGTATATATTTGCTCAAAAATATTTTACCTTTATGTCTAATCACATCAATTTCTGTGCATTACATTGAACACTAATTTCCCATGTTTTCCTTTTTATTAACTAAACCACCTGTTTACATGGAAGATGGCAAGGAATAAGTCCAGTATTTTATGGGGAATGGCCTAGAATTGCTTTTTAGCTTAGTAAACTAATTTCATCATTAATCATTGTGTTCTAGCTTCCTTGTGGCATTTGATACAAGGAATATTGGAATTCTTTCAGAACTTAGATGAATATTCTCAATAAGTGATTCAATTTAGGATAAAAAATATTCATGTTTTTAATGCCAGCACTCTTTTCTATAGAAAGAATATTTTTAAGTCTTTGCCTATATCCCCTTATTAAAATCTTTGAAGGTTAATTAATCACTACTTAGCCTCAGTGTTTTCCAGTTTATCAGCCTTCTCATTATGAACAAGTCTCTTTTTTACCAAAATACAATTGAGAGGTAGATTACTTTCCAATATCAGACTTTAACTGCAATTGGAAGCTATGCAAATGATAGGGCTTAGTTAAATGAATATCAAAGATGAGTTTGATTTGCCTGTTGTGTAATACAAAGGCATAGCATATTTGAGGCATTACAGAGTATGACCATACTATCCTGTAAATACAACAAAATGTCATTGGAAATAGAACTAAGAAACTTTTCAGCTACCTATAAGAAACAGGTTATTTCATATCCAAGTTGAAAATATGATTTGATAACTTTACTTGCCAGCCTGTTTATTGTAACAGAGAAGGTAGTGGTGAAAATTTCCAGCTTGTTTAGTTGAATAAGCAATAAATAAACAGATCATCTAAATTAAAATAGCCAAATCTTCACTTAACAAATACGAAGAAATAAGTTTTATCTTGTATCTCCACTGCTATTCCATGTCTTTTGATCCCAAAATAATGTTTTGGAGAAAGTCTATATGCACAAAAATACCTCAAAAGTTGAAAATATATATTTTAAGAATAATAGTAAAGTATCACTCAGTATTTAAAAAAAAAAGTCATGCATTGTATGTTTGATACAAATTCATTATCTAAATAGGAAAATAAATTTTTCTATTCCTAACCAGCTACCTTGTCAGTTTTACTCTTTTAAATAAGACAGGATGATCCTTGATCATGCCCAGAATTTCAGTTGTCAATTGTATTTTTCAGAATTTCATGAATACTCTTATGGTCAAAAAAGAACCCTTAAAATCTTCCAGTTACTCCTTCCCACTCTGGATTATATTGTTACTATCTGGGATCCCCACTGCACCTTTCAATTCTTGGACCTTGGACCAATCACCTTAACCTTTAGCTCATTATCTCTGCTTGTGAAAGCAATGCATTGTGGGTATTTTTGGTTGTGTTTTTTTTTTTAATTACATTTCTCTGTTTACTTTGGTCAGAATTGATTGACTTGTTTTTCTGAGGTGTTGCATTGGTTCTTAAAATGCTGAATAATAATACTTTGCATGCTTGTGTGATCAGCCAAATCTTATCGCATGTCTAATGTGCAGGGTAAAAAGCAGGTGATGTATGGATATCAGAAAAAAATTTATATATTACTACGAAACTGAAAACAAAATATTAAACATAATTTTGAAACATACTTTGCATACAGGTCCTGCCCTAATGGAATTTGTTGGGTTTATTTTTTTCATATTAAATCCTTCTCCACCCTGAACCCCTTTGTAAGCTCTTTAAAGAAAAACTTACTCCTAGGGCAAGCTTATTTTTAAAAATACTCCATATACAAAAAGTTGATGTTTCCAGTCCAGCAGATTTTAGATAGCTATAATAGGCTCTTCTGGGAGTGCTTTTTATTGTGTTAATGTTACTTTGATTACCAGATACCCATGTCGCGCATTCCAGTTTTGCACACCTTTCCCTCTACGCGCATGTCCTGGAGCTGTGTGACTTGTGTGTGCACTTTCACATTTTTCTGACTGACGTGCTATGGCCCCAAGCCCAGGTTTTGTATTCATACATCACCTGCCTGTGTAGAGCGCATGTGCATGCTGCCGTCCTCAATAACCGGAATGTGTTTCTGTTCTTTTGTTTTTTTTGTTTTTGTTTTTGTGTGGATTTTCTGCAGTGTGGTTTACCAGGACGGATTTTACGGTGCTGACCTCTATGTAAGTACACACACCGGGGCCTTCTCGACCCCATCCCCTGACAAGCCAGCCTTTTTTTTCTGTTTCTTTGGTTTGTTTGTTTTTTTTTTA